CCTAAATATCTCTAATCAATATTAGGCCTTAAGACTCTGGTCCTATAGAATCCCATCCTTTGAGCTACCTGTAGAGTGACTTCTAATACCCAGTCTTCTAAGAGCTAGAATCTGTTGTAGTGGTATCTGTGTATACACTGCATGCATGTGTACATGTGAGTGTGCATGTATGTGCAGCACACATGTGTTTGAGGTTATCACAGGTTTGAACTAAGATGGAATTGTGAGATATCCCTAAGCAGCCTCCTTGGTATTCTAACTTGCTATCCACTAGACAAGTTAGAGTATTTATTTAACGCTCTACAATTCTTTCCAAGTCATAATCAGAAAGAATGATGTTTACTTAAAACCAGAAACCAAGAGGATTGTTTTAGCCTGGAAAGTATAAAAGGTAACTCCATTGATACGAAGTCTGAACTAGTGTCATGTGGAGATTAGGCTGAAGTTTTCATATTCTTCAGAAATCATCATTTTTCTTACAGGATCAGGAAGTTTCTCATTCCATCTCAAGCATCTTGACTCTTGTAACTTTCCAACAATGGGTAATGACAGCCTTAAACATTGCTTTATTTAGGACAGTTGGGAGGGAAATGGCCACTTTCAAAAAGATCTGGGAGTAGAAACCCACAGCAGGATGGGGGGCTCTCAGCTATTTGGTGGTCCTGAATCTATCCCTGCAAGAGAAAAACTAGTGAAATATTTTTCACAAATTATTTCTAAATAAGGATAAATTCAAAAATGCATTTTTTTCCCCAGGCATCTAGTCAGCTGCCTCTGGAGAAGAAAGCAAATCCTTTAAAAGCAAACTGTCAGGCTTTGGGTTATCTAAAAAGAAAGATCTTGGCCCCTGAATACCTACATGCATAGTTGAAGGCATGGCCAGGTTTGCCAAATTGAATGCGAGTATGGGTTCTAATGCTGTATGTTAATTAACTCAGCCCTCTGGGAAGTAATGGCTAATATTTCTTCCTTTCACAGATGAGGCAAAGACACAAACACCATGCAACTGGTATTTGGTGGAGGAGTGTGCCCCTTCAGCCAGTAAGGAATCGGCAGAAGAGATATAAATTATAAGGGGCTTCATGTCTATTTTATTAGCTGCCATGGCAGTGAGAATTTGATATCTCTTCCTTACTGGTTATCTATGTTTTCTTCTATTAAAAATGATTTATTTTGTACTATCAAGACATACAATGGTGTCTGTATTCTCTTATGATACATTCTATGCATACAAGAGATGTTTTACATTGAAATTACTAGAGAATCATAAGGTACTCTGCAAGATTATTTTTTAAATTAAGAGATGGGATCTTAGTATGTTGCCCAGGCTGGTTTTGAGCTCCTAGGCTCAAGTGCTTCTCCTGCCTCAGCCTTCCAAGTGTTGGGACTAGCAATCGGCACTACTGCACCTGGCATGCATATTATAGCAAATATAACAATATTCTTATATTAGACTAGAACTTCTTACAGGGGTTAGCACACATTATTATCAATCGTGTCACTAAGAAAAACTAGACCGGTTTCTTACAGACAGTAAATGTTAACTAAAGCATTGGATAAGTGGATGGGAAGATGGACTAATAAATGAATACAATCTGATCCAAGATTTTACACTTATGATATATTTCTATTTGGGCAATATGTGCTTTAAGCTCGAACCATCACAAAAGTTCTCCTATACATTACCAAACTTGGAATTCACCTCTTTATCTTTGTATTAGACAGAAAGTGTGATTTAAAGTAAACTTTATCCAGAATTTCATCAGGCTCAGTATGGCTAGCAGGTATCTGTGGGTCATAGTTAGAATTGTTCATTGTGAAGAAGTTATTAGGAGCCAGGTGTGGCGGTACACACCTGTAATCCTAGCACTAGGGAAGGAGTCTAACATAGGAGGATCTTGACTTCTGGACCAGTCTGATCTATAATAAAGGGATCCTAGCTCAAAAAAAAAAAAAAACCCAAACAAGCAAAACAACAAAAAACGGAACCAAAAACAATGCTATGATCATCTATTTACACATAATCAAATATGCCTACAGGTATAAAGAATCTAATCAAGATGTGTCATTATTGTGGTGTTTGTTTTTTAAGGGGAAGCTCTTGAAATTGCACGTTAAACCACACATATGTGGACATATCAGCATTATTCTGAAGTGAGTACCCACAACCTTTATTACACCCTTGGGTCTGTGGCCCCAAGGATAAGAATAACAAGAGCTCTGCTGTGCAATGAAGAATAGCAGCAAATACGAATGCACACCTGGGTTTCAGTGCACTTAGTGAGGAGCTGCTTGAGCGTGGGAAATTTCTACAGGAGAGAAAGGTCATGGCTAAGGGCTGCTGCTCCTTCTTCTCATCAGGTATCCTGAAAAAGGCATCCCATAACAAACCACATGGACTCTGGTCATCATTGCACAATGATATAATGACAGTTTGTTGGGAAGTATCATAGGTACCACCTAACTTTCATTTAATTAATGTTCCTGGGGACCTTATGAAGACAAAGCAGGCTGGTGTATTAGTCAGCTTTCCAACACTGTTACAAAGTACCTGAGATTATCAATTTAAACAAAAAAAAGATTTATTTTGGCTTACAGTTCAATCCATGGTTGCTTCGACTACTGCTTTGGACCTGTGGCAGCATAGTACCGATGGCAGGAGCAGGTGGTAAAGGACACCTGCTCACCTCATGACATCCAGGAAACAGAGAGGAAGGGTGAGGTACTAGTATCTCCACCAAGGCACGTGCCCATGATCTAACTTCCTTCCAGGAGGCCACTTCTCAATGTTGCCACCACCTCCTAGAAATGCCACAGACTAGGGACCAAACCTTCAAACCCACAGGCCTTTGGGGGAACACTCCAGAACCAAACTACAGCAACTGGGATGACAAAAACTTTCACCTGTCTCTAACCCCCTGGCCACCGTGGCACTTACTAATCAATCAGGCACTTTTTCCAACTGGGTGTCCAGCTGCAATCCCCCGATAACATTCTCCACCATGTTTCAGGGACTCACTGTTGATTAATCAGTTTGCAGACATGATGAAAGCTATCTGCTATCCCTGAAAAAGACGCCAAGATCTAAAGACTACAGCTCTTGGTCTTCAGTATTTGTCTACTTTTCAGGCTGCAATTTATAGGTTTGCTTCAGGCAAGCACAGAGTACTTTATTACTCTATTTTACTTTTAAATTTTAAAAAATTACTTCTTTACAAAACAATGGAATTTTCTAGATTATGTTTACAATTTAGCTGGTAGATAAAGAGCAGAGTCTCAACTCATTTAATTCATAGGTTAACATAACTTTGTAAAAAAAAATAGTTTGCTAAAATTACACTGAGTTTTACTTACCACATATTTTAATTCATTCTGCAAGACCAGAGGCATTTTTCCTAATGGTCATAGTTATCAAAAAAGCCAGGCCCTCTCCATCTTTCCATGTCCAGCTCTCTACACCAGGTCCAGAGCGCCATCTTGGTTCCAGCAATAAGAGGTGCTCAGAGTTTCTGGCAACAGCGTTTTGAAGCCTATATGCTCACCTCGTGGAGCAAACTCCTACTGGTAACTGCATTGCAAAATTTTCAGTCTTTCTCAACCCAGCCTTGGACATGCACCAAGAGGTTAGATGTTCTTCACTTACCACTTTCCATCTTCCAGTCTGGACACTGGTATTTCTCCTGAGAAGACTTTTATTTTCTAGAATTTGTGTCCCGGATATACCCTCTTCACATAACTAATATGGGTAATTATTATTTTATGTAGAATTTATAAAATGTTTGTAAAACATAAATATATGTATATAAATATAAATTGTACATAAAATAAATTGTCTATAAAATATATTTATAACTGGCATCCTTGAGCCTCCAATACTCAAATATGATTTTTTTGAGGAGTATGGCAGCATATTTATTTGGCCAGTGAATACACTGTCAGCATAGATGCTACTGACTATTTTCCCCCAGAGAGTGTGGTTCAACAAGAAGTATAACCAAGTTCAGGACAGAGTTGGAACACAGGCCAGAAACTTCTTTCTCACATAAGTGTAGGAATGTTTCTGGTGTTGAAAGTTGGAACTGAGCTCAAGGATACTGAACTGGAGATAGGAGTTCACACCTTGGTTTAAGCAAAAACCAAGAGTGGACAGAAGGAGGGAACGCAACGGAGCTTTCCAGGCAAGAGAGGAAGAGTAGAAAGGGGTACAATTATAGGATCCCATGAGAAATTCCATGAAAATATCAGGAAGTAATTACACTTCCAATTAGCAATGCTACTGAATTCAGACTTATTTTTGATTCCTAATGAGATTTCCTTCATAATAAATGAAATCACAATAATGACAACTTTTAAAACTTAAAAAAATTGTGTTAAATGGAATCAGTTGTAGGAACATAGGCCAAGTGTAAATCATTCTCCCCTGGTCCCTTCCAGAGTTTTAAGGCTGGAGTAAATTAGAAGCATTATTGTAAAGTCTTTTCTAAACAATCTAGAAGGAAACGAAATTGCTTCCTTTGCTGTAAATCAGTGTCCACCACGTCAGAAAGACCTTAGGGTGGTGCACTACCCTGGCCCTAGCAGGAAAATCCTCGCGCAACAGAACTCTGCTCCTGCACCAGGCTTTACAGGTAAAGGTCGGGGTACAGGAGCCGATCCAGCGCCCCCTACCGACAGAACAGCCACAGGTTTCTCCCGCCACCCGCAGCGCCCTGCTTCTGGGCTGGTAAAGGGGAAGCCCAGCAGCTTTGATCTAGGGACGCTAAACGGGGCGCCCCTTCTCGGCAGCCATCGGGGGCGCGTCACTGATGGCCGTGAGCGCCCCACGAGGACACAGCACGCAGACCTTTCCCGGGGACCCGGTCAGGGCGGGCAGAGACCGGGGAGGAGGGCGCGGCGGACCCGGGTGGGGGTCCCGGGACAGAGGCTCGCGCTCTGCGGCCCAGATGGCCCCGGCAGCGCCAGCCTGACGGGGAAGGGGGAAACGGAGGGGAGGGCTGTACCCGAAAGGCGGCCGCCTCGCGCCCGAGGCTCCGCGGCCAGCTCGGGGGAACGGCGGCCCCGCAGCACAGCAGCAGCACCACGGCCAGGGCCAGCGCGGGGCGCGCCGCCCGCGGTCCTCGCCGCATCCCGCCGCCCGCGGTCCTTCCGGGTCCTAGGCTCCGCCCAGCGGCCGCGCGCGGGCAGAGAGCGGTGACCGCCCCTCCCGCCCAGCCGGGGATGGGGGTGCGTAGCAGGGGGAGACGCTGCTTCTGTTGCAGTTTCTTTGGCTTTTTGGTGGGTTTTTGTTTGTTTGCAGGAATGTCAAGCTCTTCCCTGACCACGTGCTGCTGGATTTCAGGGTTCCACTCTTACCCAGTGAAAAAAATCCCAGAGGCAGGCCTTATATGAACTGCTGTGTTTCCTGCACTTCCGCAATGAAGCCCTTTCTTTTTCTTCCTCTTATCTCAAATGGAAAGGTTTGTGCACTTGGCCTCAATTGCTTGCTTGCTTGCTGGATGCTAGCAACTCAAGACCCCAAATGACGTATCATGTGGGAATTTACACGTTGGCATTCATTCAGGAGATACTGATAAATACCAGACACATTTTTACGGCTGTGCAAAAAAACAGTTTCTTTAAATATTAACATGATGTTTTCCTCATTTGCCATGGAGGATAGAGATAGCACCGACTTCATAACTTTGCTGTGAAGTGATCCACATCAAACACTTTATAAGATGCCCGACACATTTTAAGTGCTTTATTAGCTGTTGATTTTGCTTTTTATGTTTCATTACATTACTTTCTTCCTACTTAGCATTGAATTGAACCAGGTTCTATTAAAGGAATTGTAAGGGTGGTCAGGACAGGCTTCCCTGATGAGGGGACATTTGAGCACAGACAAGACAAGTCGGTATCTGCAGGAACAGCAGCTAGATAGAAGAAATCATCCACGCAGAGGACTTGGAGTGAAGTATGTTTGGCATGTTCCAGAATCAGAAAGGAAGTGAATGTGGCTGGTGAAGAGAAAAAAGGAGAGTAGAGACTGGGATAAAAATAATAACGGCACAGATCACGGAGGTCTTTGTAGGTCATTTAAAAGGGAGATCAGAATTAGTTGTTAAACAATAAACAGTTTTTAAATGGCTTTCATCTGGAAAAGCAGAAGTAACAAGTATCTGCTAATTTAAATTCTACAAATGGTATCATATGAGGATGTACTTTTTTCCATCAAATTTGCAAAAGAGCACAGGTTACTTCCTTCAACCTTGTATTACTTATATATTGCACAGAAAAATAAGCCCTGACATTAGCAGCTTTGCTAACATGGTTCACACATGTTCTTTGGGTGAGTATCTGGGAACATCTTGGGTGTAGACAGACAAGCTGTTGAATGCCCTGTACTTGTCTTAAAGTTTCATGGGGTTGGGTTGGAGAATTCGATTTCAACATGGGCAGGAGTCCTCAGTTCTCCTCAAGCTTTTGCACAAAGCCCTCAGAACCTTACCACCTGGGCATCTCCTGATGGCTTCATATGCCATGACAGCATCTTCCTCCAGAGTGAATGGCGAGAGCTGGAGAGAGCAGAGGGTTGTCCACAAATTGACTAAGATAATGTAGTAGACTTTTGTAATTTCTTCCCACCATATCATCCCTTCTACTGAGACAACGCCTGGAACGATGCAGAAGGTGGAGGTCGCATCAGAGCATGAGTACCAGGAAGTGGGTTTCATTGGGTGCCATCTCGGAAATCAGCTACCAGGGCTGCATGTCTTTTGTCAGCAGCCTGATGACAAACATGGCCATTTTGTGTGTGTTTAAAAATACTCCAGGACCTGATCCTTTTCCATAAATACTCCTCAGCTTCATAGCTTTCACATAATTATTTATTGTTATTTTCATCCTCTCATAAACTTTCTGAGTTTTCTTCAGGATTATTTGGGGAAAGGGCAGAGTTGTAATGGAGTCTCCCTGTGTAGCCCAGGCTGGTCTCAAACTCCTCAGCCTACTGAGTGCTGGGATTACAGATGTATACCCAGTTTTTAACCATTATTCTTCATTCTTAAATAGTTTTGATGTGAAATAATTTCCCTGCTTTTATTTTTACTTAATAAACACTTGTGTTTGTAATGATTTATGAAACATTGTGCCTTCTAACAATTTTATAAATTTTAACTTTATCTAACCCTGGTAATCAATCGTTGTAGGAGATAGCATCATCATTTTCACTTCATAGAAACATTAAGACACTTGCTCAAGGTTCTCCCTCTGGTAACTAGAGAGTCTGTGGTCTCGGGCACTAGTGTGTGCCATGCCATCCCTCCAATTCCTTGTCACCACTTTCATATGCTTCATAAAGCCCTGTTCCTTCTCAAGGCATGAATTAATAGTTAGTGACCAATGAACAATGAAACAAACATATAAACAGCCAACTATTGTCAATTAATTTGCAAAGGAAAAGAGAAGTGCCGGAAGCTCGGCTCAAATGGTAGGGCACTGGCCTAGTGTGAGGCCCTGTGTTCAAACCCCAGTACCACCAAGAAAATAAGAAAGAGTAAGGGTTATTCTTGGGGAACTATTTGAGTGGATGTTCGTATCATAAGAGAGTAATTCTTTAGTGATTGTTTCCATGATGGAAGGAATTTTGCCTCACTGCACAGCCTTGAGACCACAGGGTTTCTGGTAATGACCACATTGAGAAGGAGACTCATCTGCTCTCTCTCCTTGGTAAAGCACTGCTGTGAGGTAGTGTTTCACCACTCTGAGTTGTAAGTGGCCCTGGTGTGGTGTTTATTGGGCTGTGGGCCTCAGAGTCCAGGTGTGCCTTTCAACTTCACCAGGTTGCCTTCAGATACTGAGGCCTGTCTTGTTTCCCACTACTACTTATATTTTGTTCGGGTTTGCTCTGTGAATCATGTCTTTGTAGTGCACTATGGGCTTTCTGTGTTCTCGTCTAACCTACAGGAAAGCATGCCATTCAATAATGCTCCTGAGTCATTACCTTTCCTCTGACTCCAATTATTTTTTCCTCCTTCATTTTTCTCCTTATATTATGGGCAGGGACATTATTCCTCCAGGTAATTAATTGTCTAGTGTCTGGGTTAAAAGAGTTGACTACCTTTACTCTTGGATTTTACACTTAAAATTTTTCTAATGCCATGAACCCCTTTTTGTTGTCATTTGAGTTCCCACAGCTATTGCAAATGTCTTTAACTTTCGATATTGGTGACATAAGGATGATGTAATTTTTGAACAAGAAAATATGCTGCATGAATTTCCACATAAGAGATATTCAAACTTCCTCTCTGGCCAAAACAGAAGAATGATGCCTGGTTGGCTACAGAAATGGACAGGATTTGTCAAACTTCACAAGTGGATTGGTCCAGTTTCTCAGACACAGTGAGAGGCGATGAATGTGGTTGTTGGAAGTGCAGGGAGACACAGGAGAATGTGGGAACTCCACCAGCCAACCCTTAACAATGAAGGAAAGTAACATACTGAAAACCAAACAGTTAATAGAACAAAATGGCCCAAGAAACACCTGAAACCATGAGTGGTTTCTAGGGAAACCTCAATCCATTTCTTTGCTGCTGGCTTTTGAATCCATGTGAACAGAAGAAAACTTTAGTGCAGCTGTGTGTATACACAGTGGAACAGAGCGAATGGTTTATCTTAGAATCATTGCTTACCACTGCAGCAAAATACTGTCAGGTCTGCGGCTGCCCTCACACACTTAGGCTATTCCATAGTCTTAAATATTTCTGAAAAATCTGGGCTCAGTAAGCAAAAACAATACTTCCTACATGATCATAATAAATTTTAGAAGCCTAAAAATCCCTTTCTCATTCATGTAATAATATGAAAGAGCAAGCAATGGCATTTTCATTGTCTAAAAAAATGATTCTGGTACCTTTCATTCTGTGTTGTTAATACCAATAACACATTCTGCATTAATAGCTTCCCATTCCCTGCAAATTTGATGGAGCCTGCAAGAATTACAAGCCTTTTGACTTCTGTTGCCTGTGCAAATATCACATTATCCCAATGGAGAGATGCAGGAAAAAGGCAAGCTCACAGACACAGAAGGGACAAATACAGAAAAACCAGTCTTAAGTGGAACTTGTGTAATGAGGGTGTCTATACTGACTGTAAATCATACCTCGCCTTTAGCAATTACAAAAAGCCCGGTAGCTCAAGCAGCACATACAGAGGAGAGCTCCTTGGAGCCAAATCACAATGGCAGTTAACTGTAGAATGACTTCCTTTCACTGTTTTCAGGGACTACTTGGTTTAAATTATTTTATTTGATCACCATTTTCAACATCAAATCTGTGCTTCACATAAGTCTCTAAGGCAATCCTTGATCCTAGACCATATGTAATGCCACACAACACTGGAGTAGATGAAACACACTCTTGCACTTGGATAAACATGGCTCTTCTATTTGTTTACTCGCTTTGTGACCATAGGTAAGTTATTTATCGTTCTTGAACCTTAATCTCATTCCGTATAAATTAGAAATAATTTCTAATTCTTGTGTTCTTATGAGGATTAGAGCTAATGAATAAAGATGTTTGGTTCTGCAATAGTTGCCTCATGGCAGTTATATTTGTTTGGTTATAAATTTTCCCTTTAGGACAAGATTCAGAAGCAACCTTATTGTACTTTACTTCCTGCATTGTTAAATCCCTGGAAAAAATAATTTTGTATTTGAAGCTTGTAGCCCTTCCCTGTCTTTTTTACTACTTAATATTCTTTTCTAATGCCAATGCTGCATTTGTAGTCATATATTATAAGAGCCAGCTATCATTAGTAACAGGAACATAGGGTAATTTTCCAATGACTTGTTTAGCTTTATAAATACAGTAATTCCTTCCCAACCATAATTTCCTCTTGGACATGCTCAGTGATTCAGCAAACTCAGACAGATTTTTAGTTTGGAAGTGTGAATTCTGCCATGGGGCTTGGGGAGACAGAATGCTAAGTGGACTGAACTGCTGGCTCCCTGTATCTACATAGTTCTTTAAGAAGATCTGGTGACATGTTCTGTGGCTTTAAATAACTTTGGGAAAAGATAAGATTATTAACTGCAAGTCTTACAGAGGTGGGTGAGAAATAGCAAAGTAAATTTGACTTGCTTTTCTTTTATACAACTTAGAACTTAGCTACTGCTCATGTGTTTCATGAAGCCATCCAATAAAGATATAAAACTTAAAGAAATTCTCCTTCCTTACAAATAAGGGACTAGGGATGTTGCTTTGTGGTAAGGAACTTGTCTGGCATGACTGTGGCCCTGGGTTCCATCCCAGCACCACATTTTTTGTGAATAGATATTTTCACATTCACCTGTTAGTAATTAATGGAATAAGACATTTTATCTCTATTGATTCTTAGCATCATTAATAATGAATATTAATTATTAAATGGATGGGTTGTATGACTAGCAATATGGTTCATAATTAAAACCTAAGTTAACAGTTTGGGCCCCAACTTAAATAAGAGGCATTATGTTAATATAGTTTGCACATATATTATCTCCTTGTATTTCAATTTTCAAGGATTTTATGTTTGTTTTCCTATTAGTGTCTCCTAAAAACAAAGGAATGTTTGAGAATGAGATCTTAGACATTGAAAATGGTTAAGAGAGAATGCAGTGGTGAAATATACAACAGTGGACTTGATGTTGTTGGCCTTATCAGTTATTGATCATGGAATTTTGACATGTCTCCAACTGAGCCTTAATTTCCTAATCTAAAAATGGTAGATTGGAAAGAAAGAATGAAATGATATTAACCCTTATACTAATCAAACAGAGCATGCTCACTGAGTTTAACTAGCATTAGTATTTGTATTTACATAATTACTGGTATGAGAAAAAGTTCGCATTACTGTGAATTGGTAAAATATTGGGTCTTTATGGATAGGTGTTTCAGATTGATTTGGTTGCTGACTGTTTATGCATTATAACTGCAATATAGTATTTCACTTCCCGTTCAAACAGAGCAAAACACTGGTTTCAGTAATCATTTGTGTATCATTTCAAATCTGACCACATGAGGGCAGCATAGCACCTTTTAAAACAATGCACATCTCGTGCCTGAGATGGGAGAGAGGGGAGATAACAATACCTAGTATTAAAGCAGTATAAAAATCATTAAAATTAAAACTAAATTAAAATTAAAATTAGAAGGTTCCATATTGATCTTCTCACCCAAACTTTCAGTTTCCGATTGAAGGAACTGAAATCCAAAGAGACCAATTAGCAAGTCCAGTCACACAATTGATGACTTTTGAAGGTAGAGAAAGAACCATTCAGCATTAGGAGAAGCCATAATGAATTGCATTACTGAAACACCTAGATGTTTTAAAAGACTTCTTATTATGTGCCAATGTTTTGTGTGACAATGTGTTTAAGGAATGTTTCTGATACTGAATTAGCTTCAGGAAGTACTCCTTTCTGGAAAAATAGAAAAATAAAATAGAATCTCATTTTTGAAAAGACTTAAGTGTGTACTTGAGGACAGAAGAGTGAACCATGTGACTTCTCAAGATTTTCATTAATATTTTTCTCACAATCCTGTGCTCGTGAGTTACCTTGAAACTGCGGCACTGTCTCTGAGAAGCAGCAGCTAACAAGAGAAGGGTGCATATTGGTTTTGACTAGAAATTTTCCATTTCCTTTTTTGGTAACCTATTTTTTCTCATCATCCCACACCTCTGCTAGAGAGCACACAAATCCATAA